CATTTTTTTCTGTTGATTTGTGTGCCTCTCTCCTCTCTCCCGCTGGACTTCAGTGAGTTGGGAGGCAGGTAGTGTAACTCACTCCGGACATCACCTGATCTATCACCTTCACTCAGTCCTGTCTTAGCTGTCCTTGTGTCATGCCATCAAACGTCTCAGTAAAGATGATCTTTTTGCATGGGATGACGCTGCCTTGGCCTCCTGATATGTGAGTGAGGTGTTTAGCAGCTCTAAGTGAAGGAGCGTAGCTTTTTCTTTAGTTCATTTGTCTCGTCTCATACCGACAGTCTTTCCCCTGTCTTGTTTTACTGAAGAACCTCTTACCTGACCTGACAGCCACTCTCATTAGAGTCTGTGTTAAAGTCGATATCTTTTCTTGTGACCCCTCAAACGCCTCTGACCACAGCATAATGCTGTATTTCTTCTAATCTGGTATCGGCGAATCACAGACCTTGTAGTTTTGTTGTGGTCACAGTGCTAAAGCAAACACCCTTCCCAATATAATGGCAGTATAAAAGACATGATGACGTGCATTATGGGTAATGGAGGTTGGGGGTATGACCAAAATCTAATCTTGCATAATCTAATAACTCTATGTATTACAATATATACTACTAGGGTCAGTGGGATATTTTTGAAAGCAATGAATACTTTTGTTCTGTTAAATCAAAATTTATTGATCAAAATAAATAGTTTTCAATGATGATAATAAAATGTTTCTTGAGCAGCAAATCTGCATATTAGAATTATTTCTGAAGGATCATGTGACAGTGGGCAATGGAGTAATGATGATGAAAATTCAGCTTTGTATCCTGGGAATAAATTACATTTTAAAATATATTACAATGGAAAGATATTTATTTAAAATTGCAATAATATTTCGCAATATAACTGTTTGCTGATTATTTATTCGATATATATATATATATATATATATATATATATATAAATAAATAAATATAAATATATATATATATATATTTTTTTTAAATCAAATAAATGCAGCATTGGTATGTGATCTTTATCGACGCCAAAACTTTTGAAGTGGTAGTATATTTATTTTTAATGGAAATCAAGTAAAAATGGATTAGAATACACTATTTTACAATGTCCTTGTTACACATAAAGCATAACATGAAAAATCAAATGAAAAATACTTCTTTAAAAAATCTAATTAATAATACTGAAAAATCTCATTAATTTTGGATTTACTCGGTTATGTTATTGCAACAAACTAATGTCACATTATACGACACGAGTACACAAAACAAACTTAACTTTAAATTCTAAATGTTATGAAGTACTCCACGTACCAATTCAAATCTCCATTAAAGCATTAAGTTGCGAGCTTGCTTGACAATCGTAAACGATGTAAAATGCCTAACAACACATCTTAACACATTTTGACTTGTTTGGGACACGTCACACTTTGTATTTTCACATTATTCATCACTAACATTTTAATACATAAAGTAGCCCTTCTCACCAATAGCCATCTAAATATATGTCTTGCGTTATATCAAAATCTCTACCAGTTGACTCTTTTCTACCGTCGCGCAGTGTATAATCTCATGCCGCCCACCCTTAATGAGTAATGTGTGTGTCTCTCTGTGGTCTCTGCTCGTTGCTTCATTGTTGTTTCTCTCCTGCTGCAGTGGGAAACAGTCCATTGCGATCGACGACTGCACGTTCCACCAGTGTGTCCGTCTCAGCAAGTTTGACTCCGAGCGCAGTATTAGCTTCATCCCTCCCGACGGAGAGTATGAGCTCATGAGGTCAGTGAAGAGTGTGTGTGTATGTCTGTGCTGTGAGACACACATCCGCAAGCAAACAATGACAGTGGCTTTGTCTCAGGTACCGCACCACTAAAGACATCATCCTCCCCTTCCGCGTAATCCCATTGGTCCGTGAGGTGGGCCGCACCAAGCTGGAGGTGAAGGTGGTGATCAAGTCTAACTTCAAGCCCTCCCTCTTGGCACAAAAGATAGAGGTGAGACGTACAGCAGAAATAACCTTCATTAGTCTTAAAGGGATAGTTCACTTTGAAATACATTTTTGGTATGTTTTAGCTTACCTCAATGGCATTCAAGATTTAGGTGTCTTTGTTTCCGCAGTAGTTTCAATTTTGATATATTTAGGTAGGTCAAAACGTTCTTGTCTGTCAGTCATATAATGGAGGTCTATGGTCACCACCTCAAAGCGCCTGCACAGAGAAGTCCAAATTAAACATGATTTAATGACTCGTAAATGTAAGTACACATTGATGGCCTAAGACACTAAACGAGTGGTTTGTGTGAGAAAACAAACAGTATTTATATAGTTTTTACCTCTTGTAACCACAGCCACGTCCAAGTGATCTGAGGGCGCGGGCGCTTTGGTCAGCGCAAGCACCGGAAAGCGCCGGAAGAGATCTCTCACGCTTAGAATCGAGAATCGGGGAAGCGTTATCTTTCACTGTGAAGATCTAAACATATTTAGATATACAGGAAATCGCAATGGAAGACGATATCGATACATCAACAGACAACGATGAATTTTTTTCCGCAACCACGCAAGAGATCACTTCCGGCGCTTTCCAGCACTGTGGTTACAAGATGTAAAAACAATATAAATACTGTTTGTTTTCTCACACAAACCACTCGTTTCGTGTCTTAGGCCATCAATGTGTACTTACATTTACGAGTCATAAAATCATGTTTAATTTGGAGTTCTCTGTGCATGCGCTTTGAGGTGGTGACCATAGACCTCCATTATATGACTGACAGACAAGAACGGTTTGACCTAAAAATATCAAAATTGAAAATACTACGGAAACAGACACCTACATCTTGGATGCCCTTAAAGGAAGCTAAAACATACCAAAAATTAATTTCCAAGTGAACTATCCCTTTAAGATGACCGATGGAAGTGCTATATTGGTTGTAAATGTTGTGTAAATCACTGTTGTGTCTCTACAGGTGCGCATTCCTACTCCACTCAACACCAGTGGGGTTCAGGTCATCTGTATGAAGGGAAAAGCCAAGTACAAAGCCAGTGAGAACGCCATAGTATGGAAGTACGGCTTGATTTTTCTTTCTTTCTGACAACACATTATATTTCAATGATCGGTTTTAAATCCCACTGTTTAGTTTTACCTTTCTACTGAGTGAAGATTTGATAAAAACCAAATTCGCTTCAAGACGTATTAAACTGTGCTCCAACTGTAAAGGAAAACCTGGGAATAGTGGAGAATTTTAGTTTTGTTTCAGAACCATAAATCAGGAAAATTATTTTATTTAATCCGTCCTTACAATAATAAATAGAATAATTTAAAGCTATTAATTCCGAGGATTGGTACCTGACATACAGTATAACTTAAATTCCTTATCAAAATAGCCTTTAAAGTTGTGATGAAACAGAATTAGCTTCAGATCTTGTTTTCCGTGTTATGACGTACATTGTAGTGCGTAACGAATAATCGAATAAGAAAAAATGTAGACTAGAGCCTGAATTTGGTTTCATTCCTCGGTTGTTGATTGGATGTTGAGATGTGAAAAGTGGAGGCAGATGAAAAGTTCCAGTTATGTCATTTTCATAAAAATTACAAAGTTAGCTTTCTAAAAAATGATATGTACGTGAACGAATGTTTCACACTAAGGTCTATTACATGCATTTAGAAAATAAATAGGGAGAATTTATTTCATGCCCTCTTTAAAATACTCATAAACAACTGGAAAAGCCTTGTGAATTTATTGATCAAAAAGGTGTCTTTTCATGGAGCTGATTTTTGTTGTTCGATCTTTTGTAGGATCAAGCGAATGGCTGGTATGAAGGAGTCTCAGATCAGCGCTGAGATTGAGCTGCTACCCACTAATGACAAAAAGAAGTGGGCTCGCCCACCCATCTCAATGAACTTTGAGGTCAGCTTGAATCCCCGAAGAGCCCCAACCTCTCTCACACGATGCAGACATTGACTTTAAACACACTTCTTGTTCAGGATAGATTCTACAAGCATAGTCTCTAAAACTGGATGGAAATTTGTGTTCTTGTTCTGTTAAGTGGCACACCAGTTATGCTGAAACAATAGGATACCAGTTTTTAAAAATGTTTTGGGATTTATAATATATATTTTTTTCATAATTTACCTTTTTTAATGTTAGTCAATAAAAATTGGCTTACCATCCATTCAATTATGTTAACAGATACAAATTTTGATCTTAAAAATCTATTAGTAAATCCTGAGATAAACAAGGATGATGAAAAATACTTCTACATTATTGATCTTAGTTAATGTTTACTAATATTTCCAAATGAAACCTTATTGTAAAATGTCATGATGTAGATGGTTGATTTTTTTTTTTTTTAGGCAGTCTCTGTTTAACCAAGCTAAGTGTGAATTTGAACATGGTTTCATGTTTAACTACTTCGTTTATTTATAGGGCTGGGTGTTGCCACAAATGTCACAATTCGATTCGATTTCGATTCACAAGCTTGCAATTCGATTCGATTCAATATTGATTATTTTGGATATCAGTTACAATAAATGGCAAATTTTCTCAAGGAAATCAAATCTCTTAACTAATGCTGTAAACTATGGGAGTCTAGTTGTAGCCTATAGGCTTCATTAGCCTAATATGAAGGTAATAATTAACTGTTTTGTAGCTTTACAAACACTTAAATTACACTTTTATTTATTTTTATAATAATGAAATATAAACATTTAAATTGTGGTTGTCATTAAAAACTTGCCAGATTTATTCAAATATGCATTGAATATTGAAGAACATTAAGATTAAAATGCATATGTATGTAATATGGTGTATATATTTAGCAAAATGCTCCTCTCTAGAGTTATTTTTTTCTAGCTGACAAGCGAGTTTGATTGATTACAAGCTGTTTAACTGACGTCTTTCCACGGTTGAAACGCTGATTGAGCGAATCAATAAGCCATGATACAGATTTCGATAAGTTGTACATTGTCTTTAACACACTTTCAGATGCTCATTCATGTTTATTTTCGTGGTATTATTATCCCAGAAGGGATCTCACGCCACAGCGCCGAAACGTTATTTATGTTTTTGAATTTCTGAAGAAAATGGATGTAATTTGAAAATTGAGACTTTGTTTCATATCAATAGTAACAAAGAACAAAATTATTGCGATTATTTTGGATGCGCGCAGCCGCGGCACAATATTCCAGTCATTCAAGTGAAACAGGATGAGTAATCGATTCTTGAGATTTAAAAATCGATATCGGTTCGTAAAAATGAGAATCGATACATCGAGAAATCGACATTTATTACCCAGCCCTATTTTTCTATATTCTATTATTTAATTTTTTCTTAATCTGTGTTTTTTTTTTTTTTTTTTTTTTTTACTGTATTGCCTCCTTGTATTATAACTGTTTTAGTCTGTAAGGTGTCCTTGGGTGCTATGAAAGCCACCCACAAATAAACTGTGTTATTTATCATTATTAATATAATGTTCTGTCTCTTTCCAGGTACCCTTTGCTCCATCAGGACTGAAAGTGCGCTACCTGAAGGTCTTCGAGCCGAAGCTGAACTACAGCGACCATGATGTCATCAAATGGGTGCGTTACATCGGCCGCAGTGGCATCTATGAGACCCGCTGCTAACAGCCGCCCCTCCGCGAGGAGGGGGGAGAGACGTAGACCAATAGATGGGCGGGATGAACAGAGGACGAGGAGAATGGAGTTATTCATTGTCTCACTCTCCCCTCCCTCCCTCAACTTTTTATACCGGGTTCTGTTCACAACGATAGCATCAACAAAGGGAAACACATCTAAAACCTCACAAATGTGCCCTTCAGAATAAAACGTCGTTTATCTGCAATGATTAAAAATAGTTGATCCCGCTCCACTTGCTATAAGATGAGATGTAAACCCCCACTCATTTCTCCTTTCTAATTCTTCCACAACATGCATTCCAGACCCTCAGTCCCCATTGATTCCCAGCTAATGTGGGGCCCTTTTCATCGCGTGATTAGCGCTGAACCTGTGTTCCTGCTCACAGTGTGGCCATTTCCTGCCCCTTAGTCCCTGTCTGCTAATTTGGGCCCTGGAAACTTTACCCTTCATGCTTCATTTTTGTAGTGGAGTATTAGTTAGGTATCGTCCACGTTCTTGTTCTCAGTGAACTCGTGTAAATGTTCTTGAGCGTTAACTTTCCATTATCCATAAACATGGTTTTACGTACCATTTTGTCTTATTTTTTGTTGTCTGAATATAAAATAATTTTTCAATGTGACCAAAATGAGGTGCGAGGATGTTTGAATTGAAACAACGAATCGTACTAATGCTTAAGTCCAGCTGTCTGTGTGCATATAGCATACTATATACACTAACAAAACCACCATGCCACATGTCATATAGGCCTTCATTTGGTGTCATATAGCGACTGGTGTGTGTACGTGTGTGGGTCAGGGGTCCCCAACATCTCTCAGGGACTTTGCATTTGTGAGCTTAGCATTTCTCTCTGTGTACCACGTCGTTTGCTTGACTGAAGATCCAGTCCTTGGATCGGCGAAATCTCTCAACATTTCTCCTGAGATTAGTTTGCCTGCAAATGCAACTTCAAAAAGATGCATTTTGCTAAATACTTAAGAGAGGGGCTTGAATATTAGGGAGTCCCTCGGATGGGATGATCTCTAAACCTCTTTCCTTAGTCTTGATCTAAGGCAGGAGATTTTGGAGATGTCAAAAGTAATAAGCCGTGTCTGCCTTTAAGGTCTAGAACACTGTGCCGGCTCCTTTCATGTGCATGACAACTCTTCACTCCGCGGAGGATTTATCTTAATGCGAAGACGTTTTGGTTGAACAGCACAGAGATGGAAGCACAGTTTAGTCTGCCCTCGACACGTTACGTTTTAGACAACACTACAAACTAGACCCTGCAGATTTAAGTGTGCATCATCTTGAACAGTGTGTTTCAGCTCTGAGAGATGATGAGGCTCCTTTTGCAGTGTATCGTCTTCTAACTTTGTGATGTTGTCTCAATCCTAATAAAATGTGTAATGAACTACTCTTAATGAAGTTGGTGGTTTTTTATATGTTATATAAATATTGTTCCATTTGTAGGCGATTTTAAATAAGGTATTCTTCTCTCAGTCTTTATCGTGATTGACAATTCCGATTTCTTCATTAAAGGGATAGTCCACTTTGAAATTAATTTTTGGTATGTGTTAACTTACCTCAAGGGCACCCAAGATGTAGGTGTCTTTGTTTCCACAGTAGTTTCAATTTTGATATTTTTAGGTCAAACCGTTCTTGTCTGTCAGTCATATAATGGAGGTCTATGGTCACCACCTCAAAGAGCATGCACAGAGAAGTCCAAATTAGACATGATTTAATGACTCGTAAATGTAAGTACACATTGTTGGCCTGAGACACGAAACGAGTGGTTTGTGTGAGAAAACGAACAGTATTTATATAGTTTTTACCTCGTTACCACAGCCACGTCCAAGTGATCTGAGAGCGCAGTTACAAGAGGTTACTTTATGACATCTTGACATAAACCATAACATCATAACCTGTCAGTCAGTGTCTTTGGCCCCGTCCACACTACTGCGTTTTAATTTAAAGCAGAGACCTTTTGCTACGTTTGCACATCCCGTCCACACTAAAACGGGAAAAACGAAGACCTAAAACGGAGAAGTTTAGAAACGCTGCAGCTGCGTTTTGCGTTTTGAATCTCCGGAGGGCGTTTTAGTGTAGACGAGACAAAACCATACAAAACGGAGAACTTCAGAAACGCTGACGCAGAGGCTGACGCTTGACTCTATGATTGGGTGTTATCAGTCATGACGTACCCTTCCCTGATTCGTCATTCACTGTTTACACCGGCACGCGCATGCCCAGTGTTGGTGAATGGTCACGTGATCCGCGTTTTCAGTCATTTTAATGTGGACGGAGATCATTTCTAATACGCAGATAAAACGCTGGTGTGGACGGAGATCGTATTTGTTTTAATTCTCCGTTTTTAAACGAAAACGCAGTAGTGTGGACGGGGCCTTTGTCATGACAACTAGACATTACAAAGACAACACAACCTGTCATAAACATGACATAGCAGATTAATTATCAAACTTAAGAAACAACCTAGCTTTATTGGTTAACATTACATTAAACTGTCAAGTGGTTGGTTTTGACATTGGCTGTCATGAAGCCATTAATGACAAATTCAATTAGAAAAATATTCATGACACGGTTATAATGCCTCATGACAGCCAATGGCAAAGCCAACCACATGACAGTTTAACTTCATTTTATGTCAAGTTGTCACGACAAAGACACTGACGGGTTACGATGTATTGGTTTATGTCAAGATGTCATAACAAAGACATCTTAAACAATGTCATATTTGCATTCAAAATGTCATTATTGAGGGAAAAACACTTAAACATGCATAAACCCTAATTCATATTCAAGATGTATGTCATGTCATGATTATGAAGATGTAACTTTACCCCTTCAAGTAAAGTGTTGCCGAACCTTGTAAATAATTTCAGTTCTGAGGATATCTGTGGAGGAAGGTGGAATGACGTTTAATCTGCGTCAACCATCCTAACCCTCTGATACTTGTGTTTGAATAGCCTTGAATGTTAAATGGCTTTGTTTAGTACAAGAAGTAAAAGAGGTTTGGTCAAACACATCAAGAGTCCTGCGTAACATCAATCTGTTTGGATGGGTGGCGCATAAAAATACTGTTCCTCAAGAATGAACCATGTAAAAACAAGACTTTTGACATTACGCTTATAGGGATAAAATGACAATTCTGTCTTCATTTACTCACCCTCATGTCGTTCTAAACCTGAAGATATTTTCTAGAAATGTGGAGGTCAATGGCCACAGAAAAACTTTTTGGTTGCTAACATTCTTCAAAATATCTTCTTTTTGTGTCCTGCAGGAGATAGAAAGTCATACAGGTTTGGGACAAAATGATGATGGCTAAATTTATTTCTGCATTGGATATAAGATAAATCTGTTTGTCTTTGATTCTAAAAAAAATACTTTTATTCAGCAAGGATGCATTATTTGATCAAAAGTGGCAGTAACTACATTTATAATGTTACAAAAGATTTCTATTTAAAAAGTTTTCACAAACATGAAGCAGCACAACCGTTTTCAACATTGATAGTAAGAAATGTTTCTTGAGCAGCAAATCATGATCTTGGAATGATTTCTGAAGGATCATGTGACACTGGAGTATTTTTGTTTTGATCACAAAAATAAATGACATTTTAAAATATATTCAATATCATATTTCACAATATTATTCCAATAAATGATGCGTAACAGAACAATCTTTCCATTATTTGTAGCGTCCGTCGCATTGCTGGTGGTCTGGAGAAGCGTTGGAGCTGGTTGGGAGTTATTTTCCTGCCGCAGGGATGGGCAGGGGGTGTTTGTGTGGGAAGTCACTCATTAGTGTGAGTATTTAGGCTGACGTCATGGCCAATCATTAAGTGGGTGCAGGAGCCAGAGGACCTACTGATGGATCGATGGCCAATTAAACTCTCATCTCTCAGGGCCCCTGAAAGAGAATCTCCTGTCCTGCTACTCTTTTTCTCCTCCGTCCTTCCGTCTCCCTCTCCCTTTCTTTTCCGCTCTTTCCCAGAGTGAGTGACAGCGAAGGGTCAAGCAGCCCCCGGTTCCGCAGTCACCTGGAGTGCAGCCAAAGCCTGGGCCTCCAGCCAGATTCAAAACCACTCGCAAAAGATATGAGGCTGCCTTTCAGGTGCCCTTCTCCAAATCCATGTTTCTCTCTGCTTCAGGAATTCCATACTTTGTTCATTCGGCGTATAGTGGTGTCACTGCAATCCCAGTGAAAACCAGTCAGCTCACCGAGTAATGACACTATAGTTGTGTTTTAAATGACGCACTATGTACTCAACCGTGTAGTGTATGAATTTTATGGGGTTTTTTGTCACTCAACATTGGAGTCTGCTGCCCCTCCCCCTCCACTAGTGCAAGAAGTGGCCAATATTCCACACTTCGTTTTTTAGGTTCATTTTGGTTCATTTTTCAAAGAACTTTTGCTTATAATTTACTCACCCCCATGTCATCCAAGATGTCCACATCTTTCTTTCTTCAGTCAAAAAGAAATTAAGGTTTTTGATGAAAACATTCCAGGATTTTTCTCCATATAATGGACTTCAATGGGAACCAAACGGTTCAAGGTCCAAAAGACAGTTTCTGTGCAAACTGTTCAAAGGGCTTTAAACGACACCACACGATGAATAAGGGTCTTATCTAGCGAAATGATCAGTCATTTCAACAATAAATAAAAAAGGATCTGAACGAATCTTTTTTCAAGTAATTTCGTTCATTGAATGAACCAAATGACTCGAAAAAAGATTTGTTCGTTTTGAGTTCGAACGCACACCACAGAACAGAGCAAGGCGAGCATTTGTGCTTATAAAACTGAAACTTTTTTTATTTATTTTTTTGAATGAGCGATCGTTTCGCTAGATAAGACCCTTCTTCATCGCTTGGTGTCATTTAAAGCCCTTTGAAGCTGCACTGAAACTCTCAATTTGGACCTTGAACCGTTTGGTACCCAATGTATTGATCAAAAACCCTTAATTTCTTTTCGACTGAAGAAAGAAAGACATGGACATCTTGGATGACATAAAGTGAACTACACCTTTAAGTGCATCATCCGAGTGTTTAAAGTGTACTTTTTCAATTTTCAGTGTGGACACACTCGCTCTATTTATACAACAAAACGTCATAGAATAGTGCATAAGTACATGAATTGGGAAGCAGCTTATGCCTTCTGTAGAGCTCCTTACAGTTGAATTAAATTTGTTATTGAACTGAACTGAATCAACGTTGAGCTGAGTATACGACACTATAGAGTGCCGAAGTGATGACGTCACTTTGTAGGACAACTCGGAAGCTAGCGGCGCATGGGTTCCCTCGATCGGAAAGCTATGCATTTTCCACATAGACATTTTTTTGGAAAATCGCAAAAAAATGAGATCTGTAATAAAGTTTTAAAAAAACACAAGCAGGTTATAACTGTGTTTTATGTCATAGATCAAAACGTGAAACTATTTAGAGGCTTTGTTAACCACAGACCTTATTTCAGGCGGATTTTCCCATTCAAAAATCCCATAGACTTTAGAGCGAGCGAACCGGAAGTGCTAAAATGCTAACTCACTTCCGCGTTTGGCCAACAAAGTGATGTCATAAATTCGGCATTGTCTTCTGTAGAGTGCTTTACAGCTTAAATTGATTTCTATAAAAACGTTTACAACATAGGCCCATTCACACCAAGGATGATAACTAGTGTCCACACTAGCATTCTAAATATCATTCTAAATATGAAAGAATAGCTGAGTCCATTTACCACAATTATAACGATAACGGCACGAAGAAATAAATCACTTTCAGAAGGATTTAGATTTTTTTCCAGCTGTTGAATGATAAAAGCATTGACAGCCAATCAGACTTTAAAGAGCACCAGTATTTAAAGTGGCAGACGACAACAGCAGCGCGTACTTAATAAACAAAATGCTATCGTCTGGTGTGCACGCTAATGTTATAGTTATTGTCCTTGGCGTGAACAGGCTTTAAAACTGTAATTTTCCTATTTTATCAATGTGTAGCTGCTGTATCGTGTAAAGCACTATATGCAAATAAATGTGACTTGCTGTCTCCAGTTGGATTGAGTGAAGAACCGTCAATGGCCTTGTGCTTACGGATATGCGAAAGCAGTCGTAATTTGATTCTAAAATATCGGATTAGCTATTTGTGGCTGAATGGGTGCCCAGTCTTTGTTGGTATACAAGGCGGACTTTTGAGTAAACGCAGCGTCTTTTAGATGCCTACAAAAAGCTGCTTGGTGCATCGTGAATGTGAAGCCAAACAGCATTGAACAGCATGTAGCCACACTGACCCAGCAGGTCAAAGAAATAAATCCATCATAAGAGACTGACTTCCTCTTGGAGAGACTGACTTCTCTCCATAGTGATGTGAGAGTTAAAGTAAAGCACTGTGGAAAAAAAAAAAAAACAGGCTGTTCCCGAACTCTCTGAAGGTCAACCAAACTAATGAGGTTATGGGTAGAGACTGAGGGCCGTTTGGACATGAATGCCATGTGTTATGCCAAAATCTGCATTTCCACACAATGGATTTTTAATGAGCACAACTTAAGCATGCTTAATTTGTGGCCTTTTCAAAATGCTCCCCTGCATTTCACGTGGAATTCAAGCATGATACTAATTGAACTGCAGAAATGAGGATGTTGAAAGTGAGGTAAGCTTTTCTACTTTCAGTGTATTTCTAACGATTTCTTGACAAATTCTTTTTTGCAGGCACGTGAAGAAATTAACCCCTGTTGAGACTTACGGTGTTGACCTTGAGGGGAACGAACCTCAATTCCTCAAGTGATAATTTAGGGAAAATAAATAAGAATTGACAGTGTTTTTATTTTTCTTGCCCTACAACTGCAATTTTGTTGAAGAAATTATTTTATTGAATTTTAATGATTTTTATTTCTGCTAATTGAATAGATATGACATTGGCGTGATGACATCACTCAGGTGACGTGATCTGAATATTGGCGTCGCCAAACTTGAGAACTTGAAAAGCTTTCAATTCTCGTCACTGTGAGGAAAAACGTTTACGTTTTTGCATTCGTTTTGAAGACGAGAAGACAACGCGGACAATAAATACAACATTTCAGATAAGTATGATATCGTGCGGCTTTATAGGATATAAACAGGCTACACATGCTTGAAGAAGAGTAAAGGGAGGAGATGAGGAGGAGATTGGAGCAGGGCGGTGCTTTATGCTCCTGCGGGATCATTCCTGCACCCCTGTGAGGGAGTGAAAGTTCAGACCAAGAAGCAGAAGTGCATTAAATAAAGTCTAAACACAGTCAACTGAAACATTCGCACGAATCTCTGTCCTGAGGCGCGGGCACATCTGTCTTCAGGACGGGCGCGCGCGCGTGCTTCTGGATGCGGTTAGTTCTGTGGAAATACTTTCTTACTCAAGAATTTATGGATGAACCACAAACACAAAGTGGAAGGTAAAAAAGTGGAAGTTGTATGTCTGATTTAAAGATGCGCTGGGTCTGTTCCTGTGCGCTGTTGCTGATGGTGCTGGATAACTGTGCTGTGGCCGTGCCTGCGTGGACAAAACACACGGTAAGAGCTCAATATCATGGTCTAGTACTCATAAACATGAACTGAAAATGCAGCATAAGTGTAACAGAGACATCTGACATGCCTGTACGTCATTTACGTGATTTTAAAACGCATTTTCTAATTAATTTATAATTTTCATACATGCATTTTTTTATTTAAAGACTATTTACTTTAAAAAAATCAATTTGTCTCGCAGAGGACTATTGAAGTGAAGCGCAGAAAGAAATGATCTTGAAAGAAATAGTGACGCCTACAATTAACACTTTCCTTTATGTTTAACTTAAATACATTGAAAACATTAAATGGTGTACAATTGCTTGTCAATTTGCAATTAACACATTGAATTATTATTATTAATTATTATTTGGTAACATTTTATTTTAGGGTCCAATAGGATTTTGGCTGTTTATCAGTACTTATAAAGCACATTAATTTCTTGTTATAACCATATTCTACATCCGTCAATACTAGACTTAACAACTGCCTTACTAACTATTAATAAGTCATCACTAGGAGTTTATTAAGGCAAAAGTTGTAGTTAATAATTAGTTAAAAGTGAGAATTGGACCCAAATCTAAAGTGTGACCGCCTATTTTCCTGTTCTAATAGTATTTGCATACTCCAATAATGTTTTACCCACAACTTTGAAAAACAAAATTAATTTTTCTACAATGTGTTCGACCTAAAATCTGAAACGCACTGAAACGTGCATTCACGATGTGCATTTCTTTCTGAAGAGAGTTGTAAAATCTTTGCAAAGATCAAAAGGAGGAGGAAGAGAGAGAGGAACAGTGTTGAAGGTCATGGGGGAAGGGGAGCGTTCACATATGGGTGACAGATATTCCAAACCTTCGGCTGCACAGAGCTTCTGACTGCAGCCACTGATACGATGAGCAGGTAGAAGAGAAACCAAACAGCTGAACATCTGAGCAGAATGAGGTGGCAGCTGTCATTTGCTCTCCTGATTTAGTTTATTTGCTCTCCAAAAGTTCACATATCTGAGATTAGATTATCCCTAATAAGTACACTTTAGCAAACTTTTAAAAGAGTACTTGTTTTGGAAATAATTAAGAGAAGGTACACCGCCATCTTGCTCTGATTAAAGTGAGATACCTGACGTCGTAAACATGACTTCCCATGAAGTCACCATCTCTCCTGAAGTTTAAGCCGGATACATAGGAGCTTAAAGGAGTAGTTCACTTTTAAAAAACTTTTGCTGATAATTTACTCACCCCCATGTCATCCAAGATGTCCATATTTCTTTCTTCAGTCGAAAAGAAATTAAGGCTTTTGATGAAAACAGTCCAGGATTTTCTCCATATAATGGACTTCAATGGGAACCAAACGGTTCAAGGTCCAAAAGACAGTTTCAGTGCTAACGATTCCAGACGATGAATAAGGGTCTTATCAAGTCTTTTTTTTTCGAACTCGTTCATCAAAATGAACAAATCTTTTTTTTTTAAATTATCAGCAAAAGTTTTTTTTAAAAGTTAACTACTCCTTTAATTCTGCAGGAAGGTGGATCTCCAGAATCACCTCTAAAATATGATCAGAATCATCATTTGTGCTACACATTTGACTTGGTGGTTTGCTAAATGAGGTCACACAACAAACACAGTATGTTAGCAATGTTTAAAATAAAACACACAACATATAAGCTTCCCTTTTTCTATCTTCCTCTCAGGTGGCCAGTATTCATTTGCATAAACCATGTGTGCAGGTACCAGCACCTGCGGACACGAGGTCTCATCGAGGTCCGGCCCGATCCAAGCGCTATGCCATCAACCCGCTGGGATACAAGTGGGAGCATTTTAACGTCACTTACAAGTGAGAGAGACACAGGAGACCACCCGGAAAATCAATACAGATATTATTTTAATATACTTTATAATTGACTTTCTGAAGGAAAGCCTTTCTATTAATGGCCATGATTGGCGAATGCTTAAAGTATGAAAAGACAGATGCAGGAAGTGGACAAAAGAAGTAATCTGGGGTTCAGATGATGATGATGGATATTTTAGGACCTGCAGATTGGATTCAGGAGTGTTCGGCTTTTGTAAATGTGATTTCTGATTGATGCCAGACACAAAGACTCTTTCAAAAAACATGAAATGCATTTTTGGCTGAAAGTAATTTGCGTTTCTCCCTCTTAAAGGATCACAAAGTTCCCCAACACACTGAATAAAGATGACACCCGCAAAGCTATCAGCATCGCCTTCACGAAATGGAGTGATGTTTCTCCTCTGGCTTTCACTGAAATCACCAACCCCAACAAAAGTGCTGACATCACTATAGGTAAATAAATCTGCAGGAAAAGAGCCCAAACATCAGGCATGTGCACTTTGGCAGGCTGACAGACTCTTATATGCAGTTTTTTAATGCATGAAACTCTCCTTTTTTCGAGACAGGGTTCTACACGTACAATCACACCGATTGTTGGCGGTCTCCATTGCACCCGTGTTTTGACGGTCTGAACGGTGAGCTGGCCCACGCCTTCCTTCCTCCACGTGGAGAAATCCACTTTGACAACCATGAATTCTGGATTCTGGGAAAGTCCCGATTCAGCTGGAAACAAGGTGCTGATCTAATACATTTATTTATGAACGTGCTGGTCAGAATACAGATAATACTCTTCTCAATGATTATACATTTGTATAACTTAGAACTTTTGACAGATGGGTGGCGCTATAATGACAATTAAAAAGAAAGTGTTAATATGCAGAAGTGTTGCTGGTGTAACTTACCTCCAGTGACTCAGCATTGGCCTTGAATTGTCCTAAATCTGAATTCTGTACATTTTAGAGCCCGACCGATACAAATATTTGTTGGTTTTAAGATCCGATTTTCCGATATATCGGCCGATATCAGAATTTCAGATTTCAGAAACGCGCAACAAAACATTAACAGATTTCCCTAACATTAGTTATTTGTAGTTATTTATGAGTTTTAACTAAAATAATATAATAATGCATTTTAAAAATAAACTTGTTTCTTTTATTGTCACAACAGAACAGACTGATGATAGTGGCATTAGCTAGCTTTGTGGTTAGCTAGTCTATGATGAGCCATAATTTAGCAATGAATAACGTCATACTGCAAATTGTAAAACATACATTTTCAATATAACAGGCCAAGAAGAGATGATACGTCTCATTGCTATAACTGTCACACGCTATTAAAGAAATACTTCAGTCACATTGTCAAAAGTTAAAAGGACAGTCAGTCAACTACACTGTAACAACGTAACGTAATTATCACTAGCTAATTCCGCTTCACTCTCGGCTTATTGAACAGCAGCAAAACTGGACATGATAGTCACAAATTTTGTCATGCTTATTTGACTTAAGAGAACTGATGGGGATGTTCTTTTAATTGTTATTCAAGCAATGTATGTCTCGTGACCAACTCGCCATGAACACGCTTCACCGATACCGATAGTTTGGAAAATGCCTAATATCGGCCGATAATATCGGCCTGCTCTAGTAGATTTTTAGTTCAAAAAGTTAGTCTGACGTTGTCATACTCAGATTCTTGTCAGAATGTGAGTCTGATACTGTGATTATGGGGCGTGTTTCAACCGAACCAGGAAAGAAAATGCCTCTGGATTGCCTCTGAATGCCAATTGGATCGACAAATGCCTTAATCGCGGTCCTTTGCTCCTCTTTTAAAATGAATGTGCTGTCTATTTTCTATAACAGACGCGATGGTTGAATCTACACATCTCAATTCTCCTGTGGCAGCCATGCTTTGTTGTAAACAAATTTATGATTGGTGACGTAGATGATTATGTTACGGTTGATCATCTGTCCATCATCGTATAAAGCCCGCCCTAACAATTTGATTGGTCCGAACAGCTTTGGTTCGGGCATACTTGCTTCACAACAGATTAAGTCCAGACCGAACTTCCCGACCTCAAATGTTGTGGGCGGGGCTAAGTTCGGCTGGCATCCAGGCTAGCAGTTCAAAGTTAAAGATTACGGAAATGGAAAGCACTAGGTGATTTTTGGCTTACACTTTAGACCGTCTACTATAAGTAACTTGTCAGCTACATGTCAACTAACTCTTATTAGAGCATTAGTAGACTGATAGGTTAGGGTTAGTTGGCAAGTTACATATAGTTAGTAGAACGTTAGTCGTGTTCAAAACTGAGGAAATTGAAGAGAAACGCATATCAACATCCATTCTTCTTGTCCTTTACTCTTTGATTTTATCGTGTGTTGTCTCTGCACAGGTGTGTGGCTGAATGACCTGGTTCAGGTAGCTGCTCATGAAATCGGTCACGCTTTAGGTCTCTGGCATTCACAGGACCCTAATGCATTGATGCACCCCAATGCAACGTACACAGGTCAGCGTAACATCGCTCAAGATGATATCTGGGGCATCCGGCGCCTTTATGGTAAGGAAAATGTAGGTGTTTAAAGTTGTGATTAAACGGAAGTAGACTTGGTTCTATGCATTGGTTGTTGATTGGTGGAGATGCTGAAATCGTGACAGTGAGGACTGAGTTAGACCTAGGTACAAAGCATTGCATTAATCAAGAGAAAGAAGAACTAAAAGCATTATTACTTTCTACAGATCACTGAAAGATACGACAGATTTAATGTTAGCAATATTTCACAGTTGAAAGAAACTATTCTTCACAGCTAAATTGATTTGTCTGTCAAACTTTAACTCTGTGTCAAAAATAAATCCTAGATTCTTGACACAAGTTTGCAGATTGGACGACAGAGGACAGACTCGTTGCTATATCCTACTAGGGCCATATATAATCATTTCTGTCTCAATAAAATCATTTTTCTTATTTAACTCGAGAAAGATGTTATTCATCCACATTTTACATCTTTTAGACATTCAAAAAGTGATGTAATGGATGCATCATCTCCAGACTTTATAGGCAAATACATCTGGGTGTCAGCAACATAAAAATGATACGAAATACCATATTTCTTAAAAACAGAACTAAGAGGAAGCAAACATAATGAAAATTACACTGGTCCCAAAATAGAACATTGAGAGACCCCACAGGAAGTAGAAGCTATAGATGACACAAACTTTTCAATTTTAACAGAAAAAGTTCTGCCAATGTAGATTCATGATGTCTAAAACATCCAGGTAATAAAATGTTCAAACTAATTATTTATTAAAAGTCACTGGACTACATAAAAACAAGTTAGCAAGACGTCTCGATGTTTATCCAAACACCATCTTCAGTTGTAAAAACAGGACGTGACAATGGCAAATATATACCTACTTGTGTAGTAGAAGTCACATGACTTAAAGGGATAGTCCACTTTGAAATTATTTTTTGGTATGTTTTAGCTTACCTCAAGGGCATCCAAGATGTAGGTGTCTTTGTTTTCACAGTATTTTCAATTTTGATGTTTTTAGGTCAAACCGTTCTTGTCTGTCAGTCATATAATGGAGGTATATGGTCACCACCTCAAAGAGCATGCGCAGAGAATGGCCTAAGACACGAAACAAGCGGTTTGTGTGAGAAAACGAAGAGTATTTATATCGTTTTTACCTCTTGTAACCACAGCCACGTCCAAGTGATCTGAGGGCGCGGGCGCTTCGTTCTGCGCAAGTGCCAGAAAGTGCCGGAAGTGATCTCTTGTGGGGTTGCGAAAAAAAAATCAACGTTGTCTGTTGATATATCGAAATCGTCTTCCATTTCATGTATATCTAAATATGCTTAGATCTTCACAGTGAAGGGTAACACTTCTGAAATCTCTGTGTAAACAAGGAGTGACGTACACGCGCAAGAGATCAGTTCTGGGGCTTTCCAGCGCTTGCGCAGACTGAAGCGCCCGCGCCCTCAGATCACTTGGACGTGGCTGTGGTTACAAGAGGTAAAAACGATATAAATACGGTTCGTTTTCTCACACAAACCACTCGTTTGGTGTCTTAGGCCATCAATGTGTACTTACATTTACGAGTCATTAAATCATGTGTAATTTGGACTTCTCTGTGCATGCTCTTTGAGGTGGTGACCATAGACCTCCATTATATGACTGACAGACAAGAACGGTTTGAGCTATAAATAAAAAAAATAAATTAAATACTGTGGAAACAAAGACACCTACATCTTGGATGCCCTTGAGGTAAGCTAAAACATATCAAAAATTAATTTCAAAGTGAACTATTCCTTTAAGTTAAACTATATTAATCACATAGTATGCTTGCCATAGTGCCTTAGACGTTCAATAAGGATGTGAGGTAGGGTAAATTGTGTCAAATGCTGCGGTAAGATCCAGCAAAACTACCAGAGTCAGTTTTCAATAAAATGTCATTAGCTGTGCTCTGTGCTATGACCTGATCTAAAACTAGATTGAAATGGATCAATGTTAAAAATGAAGTTGATTAAAAACTATCTTTTCTAATATTTTAGATAAAAATGGTAGCTTAGATATTGTCCGAAACATTATTTGGATCTAAGTCGGGCTTTTTAAGAAGAAGCTATACAATGAAGAAGCACGCTTGAGGCTCGAAGGAACACAACTTCTAGTCAGACTGCAATTTATAATAGAGATAATGCTTTGTCCATAATGCTCATATCTCTTAAAGCTGAAGCTTGTTTCTATCATCTGCCTCAGGATGTTTGGACAAGAAGCGTGTGTGTGATCCTTGGGCCCGCTTGGGTTTCTGTGAGAGGAGACGGAGCTTTATGAAGAAAAACTGCCCACAGCGGTGCGACCTGTGCTTCGGTGAGAAACTCAAAACATCTCCAGCAGCACTAACTTCCCATCTATAGCCTTTCACTGACACACGATATTCTTCTTCATGCAGGTGGACAGATTGTCAGCTTCTTTAGATAAACCATTATAAAATAGATGGTAGTGAATAATAGGAAGTGTTTGTTTGCTCCTCAGAGCCTCTGGATGCAGTGTCTACCCCGACCCCTCCTCCTGAAAATGTGAAGATCAAAATTGTGCCTCGTGGAAAAGTTGTGGGCTTCCGGTGTGGGACAAAAAATACCAGAGTGCCTCCCAAAGTCAGGTAGAGTATCCTTAACCCTATAAAGCCCACTGCATCATCTCAGCAGAGGAGTTTAACGCAGTCAGTCCTTCTAGCCACTTTGGCGGCCAAATATTTTTCAATTGTAGTATTTTAAAAAGACATCTGGAATAATAAACTAAGTGCAATGTAGGGATATTGATATGTATCTGTAATGCTTCCAATACTAATTTCCTGCAGAATAGACACACAATACCAGCTGCTCTCTCTCTCTCTCTCATCTCTCCAACAACTTATGACACACAAACCCGCCTCCGCTCACTCAATCGTTTCATTTGCTCTGGAAGAATATCGTTGGTGTTGCCAGGTTTGAATTTTGCCATGGGATTGCATGTATTACTGATCATTTTACTCATTCCCACAGATTTTGTGCTCACACCCAAAGTACGTGCATAGCTGCGTCTCAGTACTAAATTGAGTTGTTTTCGCTTATTGTGCTTAAACAGTCAAATGTCAAAATGCCGTCTTAGCACGTAATCACGGAAACGCAGTCAGTTATGTTTTAAGTGAATGTAAACAGTTGAGAAAGAACAGTATAAAAAAATATAATAGATTCATACGTCAGGTCTTAAAGGGATACTTCACCTCTGGGAAGATGAATGTGTATTTAATATTGGTCATTTATATAGTAGAAATGTGAAATTATTTTTGAAATTGAAGCATTCTACACTGAGAAATTTTCTACTGATATAAAGCTTAATGCTAAATCCTGGGGCATGTTTCAGAAAGGAGATTAAGTGAAAACTCTGAGTATGTTAACCCTGAAATGAAGGAAACTCTGGGTTTTCCGTTTCAGAAAGGGAGGTAAGTTAAACCTGAGAAAGCAGAGTAAGTCAAGCCCGTTTCTGAAAGAGAGGTATCTTATACTCAGAGTCAGTGCTACCATGGTAGGTAACTTACTCTGTGAACCTAACCTGGTCAGGAGCAGGTTTTCTTCAGTAAACCCAGAGTTTCTTTCAGTCTCTTCCCCTTTTTTTAAAGAAGAAGTGCTGTTTAAACACCAACAATAATACTAAAAAGTATTTACACATTCTTTAAGGAATATATATTGTTTAATATATATTGTTTTGCTGTAAAATAATAATATTTGTGAAATATTTCAAGATGAACATTCACTGTTCAAATGCAGTCTTATGTTTGATGCAACTGAAGTTCCAAGTTATAGAAGCTTAGTTTCAGTCGTCGGCTTCTTTGTTTCGTCTTTCGGCAGTTGGTATAAAGACGGAGAGCAGTTGCTGACATCCATTCCTGGCTACATTGCAATTAAAGATCGGGACCTGCGGCTCTTGGCCAATGAGTTCAATGAAGGCACGTACACCTGCCGCATCCATCGGCGCGGTAACGTCGTCTCTGCCAACTCCTGGGCCATCCGGCTGAAGCCAGAGCTGTCCTCCAACAACAGCTGATGGAGTGACTGACGCTGGACGTACTGACCACTTGCTCTACCTCCAGGGCTCAAGACCACTCAGCAGCGCACACACCTCTGTTTGGAGGTCAGAGTCGCAATGGACGATCTGCAAAAGCAGTGGCTCCTGACCTTCGTAACTCTGAGGTCCTGTGTTGTCCAAGACGATATTTGTAAGGAACACCAACTGGATTTCCTGCTGTGCGTCTGCTGCAGCGATGACAAAGGTGCTCGCTTTTTTTTATTAACGTAAATGCCACTTCTGAGGTATAATAAATAGTTTCATAGATGCTTAAAATCTCTGAAGGTGCAAATCCGAATTTAAACATTATAAACAAAATCCCAAATATTCTCAAATTTGTTTGAAAAGGTACAATTTCATTCTCTACAGTGAAAAAAGATCAGCGGTGCGCCGGTGCATGTGAAGTGCCTGATTTTTTTGCGCTTTTAAGGGCTGTTCACACCAAGGACTATAACATTATGAAGGTTTTAATAATTATAATGTTAATAATATGTCAATATCTTCAATCTTCGTTCTTATTCAGCAAATTCTCAGCTAACAGGGAATGTTCTCAGAACTTTGGGTAATGTGGCTAAAGATATGAACAAACATGATTCTAGTAATGTTAATGTTCCCGTTCAGTGATCTCGTCTTTGATAATGATATCAAAAAAACGTTAGCACAGAAACGTTCATGCATCATTCATGGACTGTTTTTTTTTTTCTTCCAAAAAAGTGTTAGTTGGATATTCACCCAACATTTTTTAAATGATTGGACTTGTTTCAGAATGTTACAAGAACATTCAAAAGTAACGTTCCATAATGTTTGTTTTATGATCAAATGAAACATTTGCATTATAATCAAATGAAACATTTGCATTATGATCAAATGAATCGTTTGCATTATGATCCAATGATAAACGATGCAAGCAATCAAGCAGATGAGATTTGCTATACTATATATCGCCCTACGTGAGATATAATAAAATAATTTCGAACTTTGTACGCAGGAACATTATTATTAGAATAATATCAGAAAGTTTTTTCCCCCCAGCTGATCTTTGACAGCCAATCAGAATCCACCTGATCTCAAAGAGCTCGAGCATTTAAAACGGCAGATGACAAAACTGCAGAGCACTTATAATAAACAGAATGATGGCCAATATAGTTATTATTCTTGGTGTGAATGGGCCTTTAGCCTTTTATCTGTGATTATTTTATTATTGTTGTTATAGTTTATTTAATTTAAACGAAATGAAGTTGTGTTGCGGCCCTCGTGATGAATCGAAGCCCTTCAAGACAGACGTGGATCTGTGACTGGCAGATATGAGAATAGCAGCTTATTAACCTTTTCTTCTATGTCATGGACTCATTATTGTCTTCCCCCCAAGACATGAAATAAAAGATTTCAGATGGGCATGTCATCTACGGTAGGAAATATGGCCTTGCTGCGTGATTGCTACTGTACACACAGGGCAACTGAAGTGATGCAGATGCTAGAACTAGTTATAGAATTTGGAAAGCAGAAATTATTATAAGCATCTGTAACCGATGTTGGCTGTATCTGCTGTTATTTCTATTTAACTATTCATAATGTTAGTTGTTTTTAATCATCTTTTGTATCTTATATTATTGGACATTAAAGGTTCATAGTGTGTCTTTTGGTTCCTGTGAATGAGTAACACGACACAAGACAAATGTATTATTCTTTTAATATGGTTTAGTCATTCACTGGCATTGTTCACAGAGATCTTTTGATTCCCAATGATCATCTAAAATGAATCAAGTCTTTACACCAAAGTCATCTTTTTTGCCTGCTGGCAAACACGTAATTCTACAGACTTCTTCCCGTCCTATGCAAACATGTAAACAAACAGGTCCTCGTAGTCTTTTGTGTTAACACTGTTCCTCACTGAGCTTGGGTAATGTAAACATTCAGAAGGCAAATCCTTTCCAAAAAGGCTGGGACCCGTGCCACAGAATAGCCCATGGTTTAAATAGAGGAGCCAGACTCCGTCACTGCCAGGCACCAAAATTATTACTTCACATTATAGTCTGAAAGCGAGTTCATATGAGGAGAAACAACTAGTGAACTTAGAAACAAGAAAAGTCAGAAAGACAAATTAACGTTCCAAAACTATGAGTGAAAAAGAAAAGCAGACTTGCAATTCGAGTTACAAACCAAGACTAAACACAGTAACTATTCAGAGATGACAGATCCTGGGATCCCACCCTCACATTTGGCCCCTGTTCAAGTATGAATAGATCTAGACAATAAAGGCAGGTGAGGGTGGGTTATACGCACAACAAATGAGATTATGTGCAAGCAAACCAAAAACGAGACACACTAAAAATGCATAATTATTCAAGGTCCAGGCTGAATACGAAATGTATGCGAGGAATAGGCCAATATGAAGCCTTGTTGAAGTTTAGTGATGTGTGGCAAATCTCTCTGAAGCGAGAGGGAGAAGTGGGATCAAAACCTTTAGAAAGTATGGGTGGAATAATTCGGTCACTATTGTGCATTTTGTAAACGCTGGTTCAGTACATTTTCCACATTCAAATAAATCTTAAGCTAGTCCATCCTTCATTTATATTCTTGGCTATTCACAGTGGCTTTAAGAAAGCATATAAAACACAAAGTGGGAAAACACCAACAGCAGATCGTGAGCATGATTTCTAGTCGTCCTCATCGTCGCTGTGATGATGAGGAGGAGAGAAGAATGGCGAAGTGGTGAAGAAGGGAAGACGAAAGGTGGGGGACGGAGAGCGCTCCTCGCGTACGGGACTGCTGTTGGGGCTTTGTCTGAGACTGATGGCCTGTAACATTCGTCCTTTTCCCTCCTTCAACATGTGCTTCTGTTAGACGCATAATAATACATGATATTAGAGCATTTGATCTGTGGACAGGCACATATTTTCAGAAATCGTTGAAATGAAAATGTACTCCAATTTGCTAAAAAGCTTCCTATTGTTGGAGAATTCTGCTTGTCCTATGTACATGTGAGAGAAGTGTGCATGTGTCTGAATGAGGTAATGCTGAGCAAAGGCAAGTCAAGTAAGGACAGGAGAAGAAACTCGGTGAAAGGGCATGGAAAAGTACCTGAAAATCATGTATAAAGCCATTTTAAAAAGATACGCATGCGCCAGAAGGTTGCCCCAATTAAAAATAAAATAATGATGCAGGAGTTTTTAATCTGGAAGGAGATACGCATGCGCAAAGAAGTTTGCCCCAATTAAAAATAAAATAATGATGCAGGTGTTTGTAATCTGGGAGGAGTAATAAGGAGGAGCAAAGAGAGAAAAGATAACGATTTAAGTGCTAATTGGCTACCACAAGGTATAAGAAATGAGTGCAGACCATTGTAAGATCAGATGCCTGGCCGACATCTCACTTTGTTGAACTGCTCAATAAAGTTGCTTTTCTGAGACCCAGGACCTCGACTCTGAGCAATTTCTTCAAGACCTGAACCAGACTTTGATGATTTGAATTGAGACTGAAAATCTGCCACAACATAATTGGCGAGCGCCAGCCAGGAGCTTCGAGAGGGGAGCAGATGTGGTGAACGACCCCTGCCGGTGACCCCACGAAATAAAAGGTCGACCAAAAACAAGGTAAGCAGCTTTTGCTTAATTTGTTTCGTGTGGTCCCTGACAGAGCGGTCACTTTGGTTGGTATTTATTGTTTGATATTTAAATACATGTTAAATGAATTGAACCCCGCCGAAAAACGAACCTAAAAAGACTAAATTTAGTAAGGCAAAAATAAGTGGAAAGGAGAAGTCGAGATCTTGGGTCAAATGAAGAAGAAGCGCATGCGTAAGATTAAATGAAAGGTTTTGTTTTTATTTGATAGTTTTTACCTGTGAGAGAAACTGCAGGTTGTGTTTTTATTTGTTAGTTTTTACCTGTGAGAGAAACTGCAGGTTGTGTTTTTATTTGTTAGTTTTTACCTGTGAGAGAAACTGCAGGTTTTGTTTTTATTTGATCGTTTTTACCTGTGAGAGAAACTGCAGGTTGTGTTTTTATTTGTTAGTTTTTACCTGTGAGAGAAACTGCAGGTTGTGTTTTTATTTGTTAGTTTTTACCTGTGAGAGAAACTGCAGGTTTTGTTTTTATTTGTTAAGTTTTTACCTGTGAGAGAAACTGCAGGTTTTGTTTTTATTTGTTAGTTTTTACCTGTGAGAGAAACTGCAGGTTTTGTTTTTATTTGTTAGTTTTTACCTGTGAGAGAAACTGCAGGTTTTGTTTTTATTTGTTAAGTTTTTACCTGTGAGAGAAACTGCAGGTTTTGTTTTTATTTGTTAAGTTTTTACCTGTGAGAGAAACTGCAGGTTTTGTTTTTATTTGTTAGTTTTTACCTGAGAGAAACTGCAGGTTTTGTTTTTATTTGTTAGTTTTTACCCGTGAGAGAAACTGCAGGTTTTGTTTTTATTTGTTAAGTTTTTACCTGTGAGAGAAACTGCAGGTTTTGTTTTTATTTGTAAAGTTTTTACCTGTGAGAGAAACTGCAGGTTTTGTTTTTATTTGTTAGTTTTTACCTGTGAGAAAAAACTGCAGGTTGTGTTTTTATTTGTTAGTTTTTACCTGTGAGAGAAACTGCAGGTTGTGTTTTTATTTGTTAGTTTTTACCTGTGAGAGAAACTGCAGGTTGTGTTTTTATTTGTTAGTTTTTACCTGTGAGAGAAACTGCAGGTTGTGTTTTTATTTGTTAGTTTTTACCTGTGAGAGAAACTGCAGGTTGTGTTTTTATTTGTTAGTTTTTACCTGTGAGAGAAACTGCAGGTTTTGTTTTTATTTGATCGTTTTTACCTGTGAGAGAAACTGCAGGTTGTGTTTTTATTTGTTAGTTTTTACCTGTGAGAGAAACTGCAGGTTGTGTTTTTATTTGTTAGTTTTTACCTGTGAGAGAAACTGCAGGTTTTGTTTTATTTGTTAGTTTTTACCTGTGAGAGAAACTGCAGGTTTTGTTTTTATTTGTTAAGTTTTTACCTGTGAGAGAAACTGCAGGTTTTGTTTTTATTTGTTAGTTTTTACCTGTGAGAGAAACTGCAGGTTTTGTTTTTATTTGTTAGTTTTTACCTGTGAGAGAAACTGCAGGTTTTGTTTTTATTTGTTAAGTTTTTACCTGTGAGAGAAACTGCAGGTTTTGTTTTTATTTGTTAAGTTTTTACCTGTGAGAGAAACTGCAGGTTTTGTTTTTATTTGTTAGTTTTTACCTGAGAGAAACTGCAGGTTTTGTTTTATTTGTTAGTTTTTACCCGTGAGAGAAACTGCAGGTTTTGTTTTTATTTGTTAAGTTTTTACCTGTGAGAGAAACTGCAGGTTTTGTTTTTATTTGTAAAGTTTTTACCTGTGAGAGAAACTGCAGGTTTTGTTTTTATTTGTTAGTTTTTACCTGTGAGAAAAAACTGCAGGTTGTGTTTTTATTTGTTAGTTTTTACCTGTGAGAGAAACTGCAGGTTGTGTTTTTATTTGTTAGTTTTTACCTGTGAGAGAAACTGCAGGTTTTGTTTTTATTTGTTAAGTTTTTACCTGTGAGAGAAACTGCAGGTTTTGTTTTTATTTGTTAGTTTTTACCTGTGAGAGAAACTGCAGGTTTTGTTTTTATTTGTTAGTTTTTACCTGTGAGAGAAACTGCAGGTTTTGTTTTTATTTGATAGTTTTTACCTGTGAGAGAAACTGCAGGTTTTGTTTTTATTTGATAGTTTTTACCTGTGAGAGAAACTGCAGGTTGTGTTTTTATTTGATAGTTTTTACCTGTGAGAGAAACTGCAGGTTTTGTTTTTATTTGTTAAGTTTTTACCTGTGAGAGAAACTGCAGGTTTTGTTTTTATTTGTTAAGTTTTTACCTGTGAGAGAAACTGCAGGTTTTGTTTTTATTGGTTAGTTTTTACCTGTGAGAGAAACTGCAGGTTTTGTTTTTATTTGTTAGTTTTTACCTGTGAGAGAAACTGCAGGTTTTGTTTTTATTTGTTAGTTTTTACCCATGAGAGAAACTGCAGGTTTTGTTTTTATTTGTTAAGTTTTTACCTGTGAGAGAAACTGCAGGTTTTGTTTTTATTTGTTAAGTTTTTACCTGTGAGAGAAACTGCAGGTTTTGTTTTTATTTGTTAGTTTTTACCTGTGAGAGAAACTGCAGGTTGTCTTTTTATTTGTTAAGTTTTTACCTGTGAGAGAAACTGCAGGTTTTGTTTTTATTTGTTAGTTTTTACCTGTGAGAGAAACTGCAGGTTCCCTTTCGTAGTCACTTCGAGTTACGTCAGAAGTGACGGAGATTGGGGGATTTCGCATAGAAAGCCAATCCTCTTCGAGTATTTAAACACGAGCCAATGGCATGCAATGCCTTGGGGCTGCGGAAATTTGCATAGCGTACTCCGCCCTACTCCGTGAGTATAAAAGGAGGAAGTGAACGCAACCGCAGTATGTTTTCGCTTCGGAGCCAAGAGAACCTCTTCACTCCTCAAAGCTGATTCAAGACTCTTCGAGACGAGCGTCCTCTTCAGTGTTGGTGTGACGGCGGTACCCAGCGAGATTCTGCATTGCCTGCGATCTGTGCAGTGGTTTGCCAGACTTTGCGCTTCTCCCTGGTAGCCTCAGCGCTGAAAGAGTGAATTTCTCTCCTCTCTGTAAAAGAGCTGCACGCGGCACGTCTTT